TGGCTACGCAGCGTGTCTGCACAACCCATGCATTTCGTCGTGGAGCGGTAAAGAAGACAAGCAGCCCTTCTCATCTGCCCCATGAGAGCTCTATGGCTCAACATGAGAGATGGGGGCCAATGGTTCTAAAGGAAATAGAATCATAAGAAATTCAGGATGGAATTTGGGCTTTGGAGAGTTATGATGATGTTCCAGAAGAAGACGACGTAACTATATTTGAATAAATGTAGATTGTTGTACTGTGCTTAGAAAAAATAACACATTCCCTGAAAATAAGCCCTAGGGTGTCTTCTTGAGGAAAAATAAATGTAAGACCCTGTCTTATTTTTGGGGAAACACGGTAGTACCGTTCAGTAGGAGTGTTCTCTGGGGGTAAAAGCCACACATATCTAGTTATCTGGCTCCATTCAGGGGTAGGCAGTTTACCCTTGGACAATCTTCCAAAAACATTATTTCTTGCCTGCACAATTTTGATAAAAATTGCACAGCCAACAGTTCAAAGTAACTTTCTTTGGCAACGACCTGGAGTGCTATTATTCTGTATTGTAGATTAAGGACACACCTCCGAATTCCAAAAAGAAAAGTAGGATTGATCTTCTTTCACAAAAATTAAGAAGCTGACCCAGGACTTGTGCTTGAATAAGAGAGACATTCACACATCTGCAGGGTGACCCAAGGAACCTGTGGGCAGGGCCAGGGATTTCCATGGAAAACTGTTCTAAGTTCCAACGCCTGAACAAATAACAATCAAGCTGTCAAAATTCCACTCTGGAAAGCATGGGAATAATGAAATATTTCTAAGTAATAGTTACCAATTTCTCTTCATAGCAAAAAAAAAATTTCAATGGTATGTGAGTGAAATGTTGAATTTTAAACTAATGGACTCTAAGAATAAATTAGTTGCAAATTGTGCCCCTAAGTAATTAACCAAATTGCCCTGCAGTATAGTTTCATTTGGTCAATTACATTTTGACAGATTTGTATCAAAAATGATGATTTGGGGCCGGGCGGGGTGGCTCAGGCCTGTAATCCTAGCACTCTGGGAGGCCGAGGAGGGCAGATTGCTCAAGGTCAGGAGTTCAAAACCAGCCTGAGCAAGAGCAAGACCCTGTCTCTACTATAAATAGAAAGAAATTAATTGTCCAACTAATATATATAGAAAAAAAATTAGCCGGGCATAGTGGTGCATGCCTGTAGTCCCAGCTACTCAGGAGGCTGAGGCAGAAGGATTGCTTGAGCCCAGGAGATTGAGGTTGCTGTGAGCTAGGCTGACACCACGGCACTCACTCTAGCCTGGGCAACAGAGTGAGACTGTGTCTCAAAAAAAAAATGATGATTTGGGCTTTATGGTACTTGATGTTGGGCCATTTTTTCCTGACGAAACATGATAGGATCTTTTATTCTTGAGGCCATTCCTAGAGTTTTGATAGTGTTGAAGAACATAACTTATTTTTCTGTTTCTCTTTAACAGCAAGCATATATCTAGATCATCTAAAAGTGGTTTCAAATGATGAAGAGTCAGATTAAAAAAAAAAGAACCAGAAAACATCCCTTAGTTTTCTCATCTGTATAATGGGATGCTAATAATATCTATCTCATAGAGTTATTATGAAGTTTAAATACGTAAAAGCAGTTAGAACAGTGTCTGGCACATAGTACTCAATATATCTTAACTACTTTTATTGCTGTTATCATTTCTCAGAATATTTGACTTAACAAAAGTAAGTCCTGCTAACCCTGCCTCCATAGAGATAATAAAGGGCAGGTTTTCTAAAAGAATCAGTCACTAGGCAATCTCCTGAACTAATGTAGCACAGTTCAGACTGGGGCTTGTGGAGAGTTAGAGGCCAAGAAAGGATGGGTAATTAAAGTTGAAGACTGTCTTAATATTGTTTTTAACAGATTTTTACACAGGCTGGTAGAATGTAACTGGTCAATTGTAGAATTATGGTCTCTAATGCCTGCTAGCTTCTCAGGAGAAAAAATGGCTTAAGAAATTCAGATTTAAAATTTGTTAAGAATATAGCGCTTTTAAAAATGACATAGGTTTTACTCTGAGTTCATTCATTTTAGTTCTTACCGGTTTTATTACTGGAGTAAGCAGATGGCCAGGATTTGGAACACACTGGTCATATTGAACTTTGAACAGTTAGATGTTCAGGAAGTTTTCACTGGGGCTTAACATAATTTGGTATCATATTATTGAGGCTGAGAGCATGGGTTTTGCAGTGAGATGGGCCTGGATTAGAGTCCTGGTTCTGCCCCTGAACTAGCTGTGAGCACTCAAGCAAGTTGCCTGATCTCTCTAAGCTTCATTTTCCTTGTCTGTAAAATCAGGGTAATTGCATTTGCTAACAGAGGTGCTGGGAGGAGGTTTGAATGAAAGAATGCAAACAAAATAATTAGCACTGTTCCTAACACATTGTTGGTGGTAGCTATTATTAGTGTACTTTAAATCAATTCTACATTTATAGGTAGATCCTTTTCCAGAATCTGATCAGAGAAGGGCCTAGGTTGGGAAGATTGAGAAAGCTGTCTGCAGGTCATAAAATTGAGAAAATTAAGCCTCCTTCAAGTCTAGAGTTAGGGTCTACAGTTCTGTGATCTCAATCCTAAATCTGATCTGATTACTGATTTTAGAGCTAAGGAGGCAAAACTCATTTAAAATAAGGTCCTAATTTGATAAGATCCCATCTACCCTTTCATATTTGCTTTTATATGCCATGTGATTAACCCATCTAAGATTATTTTTGCTGTGCTTTCAAGCCAAGAACTAGAAGGCTGGGGCCTAAGTTTGCCAAACATGGGCCTAATAGATAAAGCCAGCTTTAAAAAAAAAAAAAAAATATATATATATATAAAAGATCTCTTCAATAATTTTAAGAGATACAAAAAAACAAAATCTAAAATTTACGAGGAATAAAAAGAAGCACAAAAGATAAATGAAAAATGGAAATTAAAATAAAGTTTGATATTAAAAGGAAAAAACAATTTGAGTTGAACTTTTCATGAAAGGTAAAGTAAAAGTAGAATGTGTTTTTCAAAAAGGCGAGACAAATGTAAGGCAGGAACTCAGAAAACAGCACAAGTTAGAACTGGATACTAAAACAGGGCAGAGCTATATAAAGTTATAGATGTTTAAAAAGCAAGGTAAAAATATATCTTCTATAAAGATGAAGAATAAATCCATGTGGAAGTAGGTGAGCAGCATAATCTTGAAGTCGGTCCTCTAACCTGGACTGATTTACGGGTTGGGTCAACAGAGGCTGTACAGGGCGGGGCCCACAGTTAGTGACACTGACAATCAGTATTTCTGCCATCCCTCCCCGCAGCTCCAGGTGCTGCGTATTGTTATCCCTGCACTACAGGGCAGGAAACTAAAGTTAGGATATGCACCGTGCGCCCCCCCCCCCAGCAGGTCTGAAGCCCAGACTGATGCCGAAACCCATGTTCTTATTCTTTATGTTTTTCTGCCTCCTGGGAAACACCATTAGCATCATCAACAACAAAGACAATAACAGAATCCCTTGCCCCTTTGTCCTTCCCCCTCACCTTGTCAAAATTACCTGCCCAGCTAGGAGAGACTGCCGTTCTTACAAACAGCCCAGCAAGAGGAAATGGGCCTATAACCCACTGGAGGGTTACATTTTTTCTATTTTCTCTTCCCATTTTTTTAGTGGGAAATTGATCCCAGTTATTCAGATATTTAACATCAAGTCAGTCTCCTAAATATTTCCTTAATGTGGCCACTTTTTTCTGTCTTCACTGCCACCACCAAGTTCAGGCCATTCTCTTGTCACTCCTTGTATTAATTTCCTGTGGCTGCTTTTAACAAAACCACGTACTTGTGTGAGTTAAAACAACAAGAGTGCATTCCCTCACGGTTCCGGAGTCCAGAAGTCTAAAGTCAGTATCACTGGGCTGAAATCAAGGTGTGGGCTCTAGCGGGTAATCTGTTCCTTGCCTCTTCCAGCTTCTAGTGGCCACTGCCATTCCTGGACTATGGCCATATTCACTCCAGTCTGCCTCTGTGGCCACATTGCCCCTGGTCTCTGTGTGTTAGATCTCTGCGTCCCTCTTACAAGAATGCATGCAATTGCATATAGGGCCCACTGGATGATCCAGGATAATCCCTCCATCTCAAGATCCTCATTTACTCACATTTGCAAAGACCCCCTTTTTGCCATGTTAGGTAACACTGACAGGTTCCAAGGATTAGGAGGTGGATACCTTTTGGAGGGCCATTTTTCACCCTATGGCACTCCTAGATTTTGCAGCTGTCTCTGCCTCCTGTCCTCTACCCTGCAGCCCAACTTCCTTTAAACATGCAGATCATGTCACAGGCTGCTTTAAAACTCTTAGTGGTTCCTGGGGCCCTTAGGACCATCCTGATTTCCTGATATGGCCCATGAATACCCTCCACGCTCGTCTCCCCCACTTTACCCTTCATTCATGCCTCATTTCCTCAAGTTCCTGGAGGAGCAGGATTGGCGCTCTCTATGGGGCCTTTGAGTGCTCCTCTGCCTGCAGCACTTTGCCACCTCTGCACTTGCTGTGTGGCTCATGCTAGTTCATCATCCAGTTCCCACTTAGATTTTGGACCCACTTCCTCCGAGAAGGCTTGCTGTCGCGGTGCGGGGCTAGGTGTGCCTTTCTGTGTGTACTTCATCTGAGCTCTCACGTGATGGGGACAGGCTCCCTATCCAGTGTCCACCTTGCTCACAGGATGTGCACCCTGCATCTGGCACAGTGCCTGACACACTAGAGCCTTAAATGCTTGTTGATGGGGCGACCCATAGGAGGGAGCCTCTATATCCACCCTGCTGAGAGGAGTACCCCAGCAAAGAGCGCTAAATCCACGGAGAAGTCTTTGCTGGAGAGATTGCGCGTGTGAATGCCAGAAGTTCCCACATATCTTTGTTTTTAAGCAAAAATCAAGACTCATGCGATTATGAGATTGAAGAAAATATTTTCATGCTTCTTATTCTGTTTTCTTTCAGGCCATTCCTGTGTTTCTCACTTTGCATAATGTAGCTGAAGTTATCATCTGTGGGTACCAGAAGTGTTTTCGGAAAGAGGTAAATGATCATGCAAAATGCTAGTTTTACTTCCCTTGCTTTAAATTTCAAAGAAGCACTTTTCTTTCTATGGCCCCAATTAGTGCCTGCATTTTCCTGCCACCAATTTCCAATTAAGACTTCTTCATCACGGTCAATGATTTCAAGGAACAGGGTTTTGACTTTTCTGTAGTTCACCAAACATACGTGGGAATGCTTGTTGATGCGAACAGAACTCAGGTCCAGGCCAGGGCTGAATTAGACCCTCAGGAGACAAGGAGGACTTTGCTGTGGGCTGTGGGGAAGCAGTCCTGATACGGAAAATGTCGGGTGCCGGGAAGTGGCTGCTTGCTGCCTCCCGCCACTCTGCATCTCCATGGGCCAGGGCTGCCCTTGGAGGGCCTGTTTAAGTCACGCTGCTTGCATGATCCTGATTGGGTAATTTTTTAATCCCACTGTTTTTGATTGGATGTTAAAACTTGTTGTTGATTGGATGTTAAAGCTTGGTGTTGATTGGATGTTAAAGCTTGTAGTTGATTGTATGCTTTCTGAACCCTGCCAAGGGTATAAAAGCAGGAGGAGACCAGGGAAGGGGAGCAGAAGATCAGAAGACAGCTAGAGAGCTGTGACACTAGGTGTCCTGAGCCTGCTGGGGAGGAATAAAGGCTGTTCTCTGACTCTCTGTGTGCGGCTAGGTTCTTTCCCCGGTCAAGAGCTGTAGCACTAGCTGTACACTTGCCGCAACAGTCCCACCCCCAGCTGCCCCCCAGTGCCACATGGAAAGGTGTGGCAGTAAAGGCATGGCAGTTTCACACAGGGTGCTGGAGTCCCAGCCACCTTGGGGAAATTTGCTTTTTTTCCCCAATCACAGCTGTGCCTTGTGCCAGCTAGAACAAGCTCATTCACCCTCTGGGCCTCCATCTCTGCAAATCAGTAATAACAGCACCCAACTCACAGGGTTGTCGGGAGGACACAGCAACTACACGTGTTAAGTGTATCCAGTCGATTCCGACACATTAGTTCAGATTATTAATGTTATTAGTGGTGGTTTTAATTTTGTCCCTCTTTTAAGAGTTCCTTTTTTCTGACATCTGCCCATTGGGTGTCATATCAAGTTTTGGAACTTTTAAAATACAGAGAGGGGCTGGGCACAGTGGCTCATGCTGTAATCCTAGCATTGTGGGAAGCCAAGGCAGGAGGATTGCTTGAGGTCAGGAGTTCGAGACCAGCCTGAGCAAGAGTGAGATGCTGTCTCTACTTTAAAAAATGGAAAAATTAGCCTGGCATAGTGGTGTGAGTTTGTAGTCCTAGCTACTTGGGAGGCTGAGGCAGGAGGATCGCTTGAGCCCAGGACTTTGAGGTTGCTGTGAGCTAGGCTGACGCCATGGCACTCTAGCCCAGGCCACAGAGCAAGACTGTGTCTCAAATAAATAAATAAATAATAAACTACAATACAGAGAGGCTACCTAGCCCCCTCAGGCCACGTGCTTCTTACAGGTGTGCAGGAGAGAGAGGTGTCCTCCTCATGGGCAGAGGTTGCGGCCAAATGAGTGCCCCTGTCATCCCACCGCTCTGCTCCCCGGAGGTGGCCCCATTGGCCAACTCTCCTCTCTCCTGTGTGAGCCTCTCCCTCGCTGCTGCCTGCTGTCCCTGGGCCCATGACCGTGCTCGGTGTTGTCAGTGCGCCGAGGAGAGAGTGGGCTCTGGTGGACTCACGCCCAGCCCTGGAAGGTGTGTTCACAAAGTGGCCCTCGCATGGAAAATCTCCCGCTCCTCTGGCCAGGCCACCCCAGCTCTGCCTCGTCTCTTCCTTCCCCTTCCAGGCCACCAGCCTGCGACAAGGCTGGGCTTGGTGCTGCCCACGTCCTCTTGTTCCTCTCCCCTCCGCCGCTCCTGCTGCTTCCCCACCGCTCCCCTGAAGACTGCTCCGGCTGAAGTCCCCTATGGCTTCATCTGTGTGACTCTTTCTCTGCTTTTTACACCATTCACCCCGTCCCCTTCTCTGGAGCCTCAGGGCCCCCTTGGCCTTAGCGCCCCTCCCTGCCTGCTTCTCTTCCCGAGTCCTGGGCTCTTCCTCTGCAGCTAACTGTCCTTCTCTTCCATGTCCTTCATCTGCCTCTTCGGGGCCTCCAGGTAGAGCTGCAGTGAACGGCCCGGGCTCAGACACTGTCTTTCCTACGTGGGGGGGTCCCGCGGCAGAGGCTGGGAGGCGGATCTCCGTGTAGGTAGAGGGCTCCCTGGCCTCTCAGGGAAGATGAGCGCCATTCTCTGACATTTTACTTAACACACTGTCGTGTAATTTCTGTATTTCATGAGTTCTAATGTGCTGCATTTTTTTTTCATATTTCAATCCATTTAAATTGGGGGGAGGCTCTTAAAACTAAAGTGTTCTGGTGTAATGTTTTCTTTCTTTCTAGTACATAAAATAAGGGAAGTTTTATAATCAGTGGTATCTCAGGTCCAGTGAGATACAGCACTGCTTTCCCTGTGTCTCCGGCCTGCTTCCTCAAGATGGCAGGGACCACATGGCAGTTCTCTTCATAGCCCCAGGCTCAGCCCAGAACTGGTGCTGTGCTAAACAGCACGAGCTGGTCACCGAGGGTTCAGGTTCAGAAACTCCTGAGAGCTGCTCAGCTCCAGGAGCCTGACTCATGCCACTCAGATTCCAAAAAGTCTTCGTATCCATGAAACGGATACTTTCTTATGAATTTAGAAATGAAGATTTTCTTGGTCTAGGGACAAGATTTAGACATTTCCACAAAATTTGTCTTCCTGATGGGAAGTTGGGTCCCATAGGTAAGGCTGAGCAGAGGACTTAGGATGGGAGTCCTCCAGGGAAGTTTCCATACAGTAGGGACCCCCCCCCCCCACTGCAGAGGCCAGGGCGGATGTCGGGCTGAGGGGACCTGTCCTTGTCAATAACCGGATGAACACCATAGGATCCATCCCATCACTGACACAAACATTATTCCTGTCAGGGCAAATTAGAACATATTGAATACGTAACATTTTTCTTTGTAGTTATTAAAAAACACCTTTCTTTCCTTTGTGAATGTAATAAAATGTAAGAAGTTGTAGAAAATAGAGGAAAAAAGGTTGGGTGCGGTTGCTCACACCTGTAATCCTAGCATTCTGGGAGGTTGAGACAGGTGGATTACTTGAGGTCAGGAGTTTGAGACCAGCCTGAGCAAGAGTAAGACCCCATCTCTACAAAAAATAGAAAATTTATCCAGGTGTGGTGGCATGCACCTGTAGTTGCAGCTGTTCAGAAGGCTGAGGCGGGAGGATTGCTTGAGGCCAGGAGTTTGAGGTTGTAGTGAGCTATGGTGACGCCACTGCACTCTTCCCAGGTGACAGAGTGAGTGAGACCCTGTCTCAGAGAGAAAGAAAGAGAGAGGGGGAGGAGGAAGGAAGGAAGGAAGGAAGGAAGGAAGGAAGGAAGGAAGGAAGGAAGGAAGGAAGGAGGGAAGGAGGGAAGGAGGGAGGGAGGGAGGGAGGGAGGGAAGGAGGGAGGGAAGGAAGGAAGGAAGAGAGGGAGGGAGGGAGGGAGGGAGGAAGGAAGGAAGGAAGGAAGGAAGAGAGGGAGGGAGGGAGGGAGGGAGGAAGGAAGGAAGGAAGGAAGGAAGGAAGGAAGGAAGGAAGGAAGGAAGGAAGGAAGGAAAATAAATAGAGGAAACCACCCGCCCAGAAATCAACTGTGTTTCTGTTTCCCCAAGAAAACCACTCTATTCTTTCAGAATTTTTTCTGTGCACATATACATAGACATATTTACACAAATGGTAAAAACACATCCTGTTTTTCCATTTATCAATTTGTCAGGAATCCCTGTTTGTGTCTTCATTCCACATTGGATGAAGCATGTGCTGACCAGGTCCTACTTGTAGACGTGTAGGTGGTTTCTAGCAGTTTGGCATTAGTATCTGCTCTGTCATCAAGGTTGCTGTGATATGTTCTTGATAAGACTTACATTTCGGAGGATACAGCTGGGAGCCTTGATGAAATGATCCCATGAGGAACACAGTTGCACGGACTGTTAAATGTTACAACGAGGGCTATTTTGTCTATTCTGTGTAGATTTTACTAGAATCCATTTTGGAGAGTGAAATTAATCTCCTCATTACTTCATTCCCAGATTATGAAAATAAACTCTATCTGGAGCCTATATTCATTTTTACCATCCACAGCTAGTCCTTTCTGTGCACACGTGCGTGCATATGCTCACACACACATTCACACACATACAGTTTGACTATAAGGTAATGTGTGGCTCATGGAATTAATCTTACTTTGCAGACTTATTTATTACAGTTTAATGTTGGAATACTGCTATTCATTTATTAATTCATTCAACGTTTATCATGTAGATAATGTCAAACATCTTGACAGGCTTAAAGCTGCAGAGATGTAGAAGACACATTTCTTCCCCTCAGAGAACTCAAAGGTAAACAGAGGAGCTGACCTGTAAACTCGGGTCATGATGTCCGTAGAATGTCATATGGGCTGGAACAGGGTGTCGGGCGGACCAGGGGGTGACCACCAGTAAGTCTGCTTGGAAGGGGCAGGGAGAGCTTCCCTAGGGGCAAGATCTGGGCTGAGTCACACAGGACGGGTAGGGATTTTCCAGTTGGACAAGGAGCAAGGACATTTCCAGGCAAGCAGAGGAAGCAGCCAGTGAAGGCCAGTGGCTTAAGGTGGCCAGTGGGGTGTCACTGCAGGATTAGCAGGTGGGCTGCGGGCTACTCCCCTCATTTCTCAGTGCCCTGAGTGCCCTCATCTGTAACCTATAACCCCTGACTTAATTAACCCATAATTAAATGAGTCAATAGCTGTAGAGCCCTTAGAAGAGCACCTGGCACAGAGTCAGTAGCCCTCAGAGTAAGTTAGCTATTTATTGTTAATTTTGGCCCTGTGACTGACCCATTCAGAACCCTGAGATATCATTAGGACTTATTACCAGGCTATTTTTGGATTGAGGGGCCTGAAAAGGTGAATGTCTTGACATCATCTCTCCTCAGTAGTCTTCAGAGCCCCGGGGGAGTGGAGCTAAGTCATGAACATATTGCTTGTTTCTACTCCCGGTATCTCAGGTTCTGAGCTCTTTTAGTCAGAAGGAGTTTAAAATGAAAAAAGAATCTCTCCCCCGTGGAAAGGGTGAACGAACTCTTCCAGGCACTGGATTGATTTGTTGCCCTGCAATATAAGTCCTGGAACAGTTACTAGGTGAGCATGTTATTCATGGGAGAGTTGGAACAACCTTTTCGTTTCTTTTCTCTCTGTTTCTACTCCTCTACCGGCTGTTGAGAGTTTGGTTATATTTAGCCCAGAATCCTTTAGCAACACATTTTACCATCATGGGGCGGGGGCAGTTATGCAGGTCTCAGCTTTGCCCTCCCTCGTCCTTTGTCCTTTCTGTACTTAATGGCTGACTTCTCACCAGGTGGCAGTGCAGTCACACTGGGCCTCCAGAGGCGGGCTGTGGACAAAACTCAGGGATGAAAGATTTGAAAGATGCAAGCCACAGCTTTGCACACAAACAGGACCTGTTTATTAAAACAGCACAAACTTAGTTATTTAGTAACACAGGAAAACTTAAGACAACCTTCCTAGCAAGCCATGTTTCTCTTGTCGGCCCTTCACTTCTCAACAGTGTGTTCATACTTTACCTGAACTGGTGTCAAAAATTGTAGTTTGTCCCCAACTAGCAAAACAATCCTTTTGCTATGTTAAGAATTAATGTGTGTTAATATGTACACATTAGTCTTCAATACAAAGGACTGATTTCCTTAAACTGACTAATTAAAAGGAGTCCAAATGATAGTAAAATTTCATAATTTCAGGGAGCTTTAAATGTTAATTTTGTATTCCCCCAGTCTGCCCTTTTTTCCTCTTCTGCCTAGGGTGGAGTGAAATGTTCCTTCTTCTTTTTCCTATTTCTTAATTTTCATGTCATACCAGATAATTTATAGGATTGCTTAGAGTCAGAGCTAGATTAATGAAAGGAATATTTAAAGAGAAAGAACTAGAATAGAAGTTGAACAAGAGCTTACTTTTTAAATACAGGTTACATTGATTTTTCTCTCCTTTCCTTGGTGCATAAGATTTTTGAAGGCTTGGCCGCGATGTCATTTTGTTTTTCACGGGTAAACATCATTCTAATGGTGAAAGTGCTTTGCCCAAGTGACTCAACTCTGGAACTCTGAGTCATCCTTCATTTGGTCCAAGCAGAAAAAGCTTCATTTAATACTGAAGCGTAGCAAGCTGTTAAGCCCCCTAATAAACTTACTCATGATTTATTGCCTCTTGATCTAAATGTTTTCTTTCAAGGGAAAAAAAAGAGTTTTGAAAGTCTAATTATAGGTCTCTTTATTTTCATGCAGAAAACATCTCCTGCAAAGATCTGTAGGTAAGTTAAAATAAAAAAAACTTTGAAATATAAGATTTAATCTAATTTTAACTTGAATAATAAACTGTTGAAGATTTAAACTCTGGGAGTTGACAGGAATTTATTATAAACACTCCTATATCCCTAATTTGTGTCTTAGTCTAAAATTTCCTTTGTCTCTTTTTTTTCTGAACTATTTTATTTTTAAGGGAAAAACAAAACCAACCCACGCTAGATTTCAGTTGTTGATGCCCAAAACTTCACTAATAATTGTGCAATACTGATGAAGAACAAATATGAAAAACATGGAAATGACTTAAAATTTTAAAAATAATGTTTGCAGTTTATTGGGCCTTTAAGATTTTCTGTGGTGGAAAAACACTAGCCTGTGAGTCCTGGGTCATGGGCAGGTTTCTTCATGTTCTGTGCCTCAGTTTCCTCAGCTGGACCATGAACCAGGCTGTCCCCTCTGACAGATACCTCTGCCTCTGGCATTCTAATTCTAACCCGGGTGCCTTCTTCTCTGACTGCTTCCTGAAGTAGCTAAGAAGCCCCTAGAAGTGAAAAAGCCTTATTCATTGAAAACCAACAGAGATGCTTTGATAGATGGATTTAGGACTTTTTTTTCAGATATTTCTGGGCTTTCTTCCAATCCCTCCCTCCTCTTCCTTTTTGCCTTTGTTATAGACTGCAACTTGAAAAAGAAACAAAAAACAAAACCTCAGGACTCATTTTCTTGTTTAAAAAGAGATTAGCAGGTGTTAAAGAGAGACATTAAAACCCACTAATACCTTATATAATCAGGTATTGCTCAAGGCCTGGTGTTATGGGAAACCAGGCAGCTGTCTCACACCTGGGTGTCCTCTGTCTCCCCCAGCCCCTGCCCCTGCCCCTGGGGTTATCTGTTTGAGGTATCTGTAGTGCTCATTTACTGTAGATGGGCAAGCTCCTATATTCTGCAAAGCCTTTCACTAAAGGTAGGTAGATGCCAAACCCATTGGGATTCTCCCCTCCTCCCACCTAAAGCCTGCCTGTTCCTTCGCAGTCCCAAGAAACCCTCCTGACAATCTCTCCTCCGCTTACCTGACTCTTTACCTTGGATTCTTCTCCAGGTCATTTGTGTGTGTGCCTTGTAAGGCAAGGCTACAGGAGTGTAGCGGGCTGGGTGGAGAAGTGTCTTGAGCCTCAGGCTATTGTACTGCCCCTTCCCAAGGCTGTGGGGCCTCAGCTCCACGGGGTTGCTCTGTGCCAGTTCTCTTGCCTCTGGCCTAGCTGGTCCTGCTGGGTTGTCAGGTACAGCAGACACCTACATGTGGTTACAGCAGTGAGGACTGTCAGAGTTGCATAGCATCCCTATTGTCAGTGCACTAAGATTATAAATATTAGGTTGCTATATGTGTATGTGTATATATATATATATATATAAAACTATAGTTTATATATAGAATATATATTGATATGAGATGGCATATGACAAAGTCCCCTAAAAGTGAAAAAGCTATATTCAGTACTTTCATTCATGCCTTTGATCTTTTGCAATTTGCCGCCTGATGGAATGCTCAGTGGAGAAGGGGCCTGCGCTATATATGGTGTTGCATCTATAAAATGGAAAGAGGGGAGTGACTAAGTGATAGTTTGGGTTTTGTGCTTTCTGGTGCCTTCTTTGGGGATGAGAACAAGATTGGGGAAAGCTAGAGGCAAGATTTTTTGGTATATGAAACCCAAAAGAGATATGCTAAAAAGCAGTGATTACTGAACCAGTTCCAAATTGACTTTCTAATGAATGAGGATAGCTTCCTGGAAAATATCTGTGATTGGCAATGTTACTTTTTTGTGCAAGAATTTTTTAAAAAGTTTCAATGTGGAAATTTCTAAGCATATATAAAAGTAAACAGAATAGGCCGGGTGTGGTGGCTCATGCCTATAATCCTATCACCTTTGAGACCATCCTGACCAAGAGTGAGACCATATCTCTACTAGAAATAGAAAAAATTACCCAGGCGTAGTGTCACATACCTGTAGTCCCAGCTACTTGGAAGGCTGAGGCAGTAGGATCGCTTGAGCCCAGGAGTTTGAGGTTGCTGTGAGCTAGGCTGACGCCAGGGCACTCTAGCCCAGGTTAAGAGAGTGAGACTCTGTCTCAAAAAAAAACAAAAAACATAAGACCTCACAGATCCTAAAAGTACCTGTGAGATGGGACAAATTTTTTACCTACAAAAATTAGGTAAAAGGTAAAGCAGTGGAGAATCAAAGAAATGCACTTGAATCCCTTCAAATATTCTTCAGTGCTTCTCAACACAAAAAAATAAAGTTCAAATTCTCTAAAAAGAAAAAACAAAAAAAACAAAAAACAAAACCCTTATGTAACCAAAGTGCAATTATTAAATTTAGAAAATTTACATCTGATATGATACTGTTATCTAATACTGAGTCCATGTTCAAATTCTGCCAGTTATCCCAATATTGTCTTTTGTAGCAGTTTTCCCCTCAAAGATGTCATGTCTCTTTCATATACTTTAATCTGGACAGTTCCTCTGCCTTTCTTTGTCTTTCATTGCCTTCACAATTTTGAAGAATACAGGCAAGTCATTTTGTGGACTGTCCCTAAATTGGGGTTTGTCTCAGTGTTCCCCCAAGATTCAGTTTAGGTTCCCCGTGTTTGGCAGGAATCCCACCAGAGTGGTGTTGTCTCCTGCTGAGCGTGTACTGTCAAGAGGCCTGTGGTTAGACCTGTCCCATTACTGGGGATGACAAGTTTGACCACTTGGTCGTGGTGGTGTACAAAGGCTTTCATGTGCTTTCCGTGGTGTTTTCATTTTTGAAACTAGGGTAATTGTGGTCTGATTGCCCAATTTTCCACTAGTCTATTTTTTGGGATCTGTAGTTGAAAAAAAAAACTCCTTTTATTAGATGTTTCACAGTCACACAGTTTTTCTCCAGTGAGCCAGCTGTGGTTTTGCAGATGTCCTGCAAATGCCTGCCTCTGGGAAATGGCTCGCTGAGGCCCAGAGGAGGAAATGTCTGGTTGTCAGCAGAGCACATAATAGAAAACTACAAAGGTCGTCGGCTTCTCAGAGGATGGACAGGGAACTGGGTTGGTCGCACAGGATCTCTGCCTCATCCACACGCCAGTGGATGCCTTTCAACCTTCACACTGTCTGGGAAGCGCTTTGATGTTGGAAGGTGAAGCTACAGCGTTTTATGTCCCTCTCCACAGTGCCCTCTTCCTCCTGGCTGCCGCGGGGTGCCTTCCCTTCAATGACTCCCAGGTAAGTGCAGGTGAACTCATTTTGCCTTCAAAGTCTCTTGTACTCTCTGAAGCCTGCATATAGGACCAGAATTTCCTTGTCATTCCTTTTGGAATCAGGACAACCTGGCCTATGCAATAGCATTTTAAAAGGTTTCAGGCTGGGTGGCTTTGGGCCCCATCAACTCCTCTCCCAGAGGCTGTGGGCGGCGTGGCCCACACAGCTCTGGCCCCAGGGTGCCGGGGTACGTGCATTCTGTCCTCTGTACGTGTGTCTGTCCTCTGTATGTGCCTGGTGGACCTGCAGGCCAACACCCAAGCTGCCCCAGCCTCAGGCATTGAGGCAAAGTTGGTTTTTCCTCTCATCCCAAGCGCCTCGTCTTCTGCTGAGTGGTTTTTCATTTAATCCCACTGTGCCAAAGTTGTGTTTTCTCTGTGAGACACTGCAGACCTGCCCCCACCCCAGTAGTCCTCTCACTTCTGGGTTTCCTTTCTTTCTTTTCCCTCCTTTCTTTTCTCCCTCAGCATTATTAGGTCCCCACCAAGTGTCAGGCACTGAGCCAGGCTCTGGGGACACAAAGAAGGTTGGTCTTTGCCCAGGCAGAAGTTGGAGTCTATTCAGAGCAAAGGGGAGGGAAACAGACGAGTAGACCGATGATTATAACAGAGAGGCCAGGGCAGGTGTGGGGGGCTGGGAAGTAGCTAGGAAGACTTGGGGACTCAGGAGGGAGCCACAGCTGACAATTACAGGGAGCCTGCTGTGTCTCAGGCTCTGTGCCAGAGCTTTATGTGCCTTATTTTATTTAAAATCTCACCACATTTCTTTAAGGATAGGGACTATTATTATCTCCACTTCATAGCTAAAGAACAAGGAGACCCAAAGGTCACCAGCTAGCAAATAAGTGGGGATTTTAGACTTTAACTTAGATCTCTCTGAAGCTAGAGCCAGACTCTGTGCACTGGGCCTATATCTGTTAGACTGAGGAGGAGTTAGCCAGGAGAAGCAGCAGGTGAGGGCGGCATCCTATAGGTCATGAGTGTTCTGTGATCCAGCTTCACCGAGCGCCTGCTATGTGTCTGCCCTGTTCCAATTCTGCCCTCCTGGAATTTGTAGTTGTTAAGCCCTGTGGAGAATAATAAGAGAGGGTAGAATCAGAGGGTGTCCCCTGAGTTGAGTCAAGGGGGAAGCATTCGTGCCTGGGAAATGCAAGTCACCTGTGTTTTGGAGGGTGGGGGCTGTGGATGCACCTGGACGGGTTGCGGGGACTTGGGTGTCATGAGTCTGGATTTGAACGCAGTGCGGGGAACGGGTGATGGAGGCAGAGGGTCCTGTTGGGAAGATGTTGCAGGCAGGTGCATGAGGAATGAGGAAGGACTGAGGAACCGACTTAAGGCCCCAAGGGTCCCATTTTGGGACCTTGCTTGGCATTGTGCACTGATGACTAGGGTTTCTGATTGCCACACTGGACCCTGTGTGTACTTAGAGCCATTTGTTTCTATTTTTATTCCTGTGTTTCAGTTTGATCCAGATGGATATTTTTGGGCTGTAATTCACTTACTCTGTGTAGGTAAGTTTTAAAAGAATACTTGTTTAAATAATTGAGGTTTATGATTTAGACCTTGTTATATTTAATACATCCACTTTTTAGTGTCCCTGGACAATAGGAAAATTAAATCCTAGGTGTCAAGGTTAAAATTAAATGGGTGTTTTCTGGGTTAGTTTTTCTGTCTTGGAATTTTCCTCAAGTGTTTCCATTTTCAATATAATTTCCTTTTTTTCTTGATGAACATTAACTAACTCATCATGGCCCGGGTTCTGCTTGCCAAAGTCCACTCGTGGAATGCTGGCTGGTCTTCTCTGAAAATGGTGGGAGGATAACCGGAAGTTCGTATCAAAAACACTTTTTTTCAGTGGTATACCCAAAAAGATTTAAGTTAGTGAAATAGGACTATCTGATTTTATTTCAAATCATATATTAAATGTTTAGTATTTTGTAGTCTTGGGGGAAAAAAGCAGTCCCCCGACTTTGTTAACACTGTTCAGAAATGTTCAGAAATCCAGCGGTGCTTCTCTTTCTTGCACGAATCACGTAAAGGAAGTAAAACCTTCCTGTGAATTGGGTCCTTCCATTGATCACGACATTTTCCTTGCCTGGCATTCTCTGTGGGCCACTGGAAGGACTGAACTACATTGTCACAGAGGATTGTCAAATTCGCATCCTCGAAACCCTCCGAATCTTGTTGGTCTCCTCCTGTCCATGTGTGGGACCCTCGCGGGGAGCAGGGACCCAGCTGTGGCGCCTTTGGGGCCCTTCTCCAGGCAGATTTTGTGCTTCCCTGGAAGTGCAGGCAGCTCCTTAAGCAGAATGCCATGTACCAGTGACACATGTTGATTCATTTTCAGGGGCTTATAAAATACTACAGAAGTCCCAGAAACCCAGCGCATTAAGGTAAGCTCTTAATGTTTGGTGAGTTGTCCTTTGGGTAGAGGAAAGGGGTGAGACCCATGGTGGTGTGAGATTCTTCCATTCAGCCAGAGACTCCACGGGTCCGGGTTGAGGAGAGGGCGGTGGACTCAGCCCTGGAAGACGTCTTTCCTCTTGCTGCTTGGGCCACCCCAGGCTGGGTCCACCAACAGCTGACGCGTGTCAGCCTCTAGCAATGTGTGCAGAGGCGTGGAGTCTCACTCTCCTTCCTTCGGGGGCAGCCACTTAGATGGCATTTTAAGGAGATGTATGTGGCCAGCCGCTTTGGGCCCCCATTGTCTATGCCAAGCTCAGAGGGACAAGGCTTTTTCCTTATTTCCCCGGCCGGCCCCTTCCTGACTTGACTCAGTTTGGACGCAGAAGTCTTCTCCAGTTACTAGCTCTGCTCTTGGGCAAAATGAGGCCTTTGTTGCAGGCAGTCAATAGAACAGCCTTGGTGAATGGAAATGAAAGAAGGCGAGAATGCAGCGTCCCTAGACTGGCTAGCCGGCCTCTGGATTTGGGGGGCTGCTGAAGGCCTAAAGAGAAAAGGTCTGAGGGGAATGACTCCTGAGAGAAGGTCACCACCCTGAGATTGTGGGGTTCTCACTCCCTGGAACTCCTTCTGTTCTTCTAATCAAGTGGTTTTGCAGCAAGAAGCCAGCGGATTTGCCACTTGAAATACAGGCTGCCCAGTTACATTTTTCAGATAAGCAGCGAACCATGTTGTTAAAGTATGCCCATGTAATACTTGGAACATATAGTACTGATGCTAAAATGTTACTCTTTATCTGAAATGCAAATTTATTTGAGTACCCTATATTTTTATTTGTTAAATATGGTAACTCTAAAAGCCAGTCTAGTTAGTGGCTGAGATAGTTGACACACCTTTGAAAGTGGCATATGTACATGTATAAACAATTGGACCAGAGTGAAAAAGTATGTGATAGTATTAAACTAGGAAATGGTTTTTTAAAAATGAGCTAGGAACTGGTTTTGAATATAAAGGACTCTTCATCCTATTTATTGACAATTTACAAAAGTAGTAACTTAAATAGGGAGATAGAATTTATTAATAGAGGATAATGACTATTTTATGTATTTACAATGCTTCTATTTTTTAATATGCTTTATCATTTCTCTCTCTCTCTCATTCCTTAGTGACATTGACCAGCAGTACTTAAACTATATATTCAGGTAAAATATAATTTATATTTTTAAAGAACAAGAGATATTCCTCTAGACCTAATAGATTTTTATTTTCCAGTAATATTTGATTAAAGAGTTCTGAGCCAATGTGCCTGCCAGGAAGGCAAGTTAAATTTGTGAGATGACCAGAACTGAGTAAACCAAATAGTTGTCCTGCTCTTAGTCCAAGTAAGAGGGGCCTCTGTCGAGCCTTGAACTTCAGAGGGCCACAGCCCTCCCCCTGGGGTATGGCATCTGTAAGGTCAGAGCCTACACCCACCCTTCAGACTGTGCCTTAGAATCTCCTCCCCAAGGGGCTCTAGCTCAGTTCCAGGGCCTACTTGGGTTTGTTGTCCCAACTCATTTCCAGGCCCAAGGGTATCCCAAGAAGGCTGTTAGTGGGGGGGGTGTAGAATGAGGGGAACCTTACAAACTCAGTTGTCCACTCACTTGTGAGGCCCTTGGGCTGCAGGTTGGAGCCTGGGGTGGAAAGAGAAGGGAGTATTAATACATTGGCAGCTGGGAGCCGAAGGCCACATGCTGACATGAAGCACCAAGGAGTCTAAGAGTTTTCGGTTTTAATCTAGACCTCAGGTTATTTTAAAGGGGTATTTGTTTAGATAGGATTGAGTGTGAGGCCTGATTTATAACTTTTAAATATGGTATATATGGACTTCTGTTATACCTTTGCCGAATGCCAAGTGGAGAATGGAACTGCTAAATAGAGCAGCTGGGGCTTGTTCTTGGGTTTTAGTTGTCCCCGACCATGCACAACAGGCACCTGATTGAGAGACAAAGTGAGGTTTGGTGCTCGAAGCCCACGATTGCCTACTACGGTGACGTCCAGTGAAGAGGACCAAGATTGGAGGCGTGTCTCAGCCTTTGGCTGTGCTGATTTCTGGAGGAAGTTACTTGGCTTGAAATGTTCAATGTGAAGTGTGTTCTTCATTTGCAGATAGAGCTCATAAATATCTTAGTATTTATTTAACTGCCTTTTTGAAAGCAAGATTCACCCCAAGCATGGCTATGGGCCTCTTTTGTACTCAGCTGAAAACAATCATTAGTTCCACCCTGCTCTGACCCACCAGCTGTCTCTCAAGAGACTTTTCTGAAAACACAGGAGGCTCTTGGGGTTTCAGATGTTTCTGTGACATTGGGCCACTTTAGGCAGTTCTGTGCAGAAGGTATAGCCACATCAGCAGCAAAGGAATAAGGAACATGGGAAAATGAGCCTCTGTGACCCAAGCCAGCTCTGTCCTCTCCCCACATCTGGTCCTTTACCGGTGTGAGGATATTCATTGCCCGTGGGCCTGATGCTCCCAGCTTCCTGGCTGAGGCTTTGGCACACCTGCTACAGCCATGACTCTGCTTCCAGGTCTTTTTTTTTCCAGTACACATGATGCAGTGTATGGATCAGAATGAAGGTCACTATTCGATTTCCCCCTGGCACTGGATGTGAGCAGTTGGCATCCAGAAACTTGTAGTCCGCTCAGGTTTATGGGTTGTCCTTGTGTATCTAGCTCACAGCCCTGCCTGCCAGGGTGAAGGATTGGTTTGAGCTCTTAGTTTTTTGAGAGAGGCAAGGAGTTGGGTGGTTTTCTACCTTTGGCATATGCTCCTATTTTCTTGAGGATATATTTGCTCCCTGCCCCTGACTTTTGGTGTTTCTAATATAAATACAGATATAAGGCACAGGGTTGGGGGAAGGGGGAAGGAAAAAATAAAGGAGAAGGTTGGATACAGGGCTGAAATTAAGTGGAACTTCTAAAAATGGGTATAGCTTTGATCTGTACTTGGGGGATTTAGGTAATGTATATGGAGTAAATATTATGGATGCACTGTAGCACCATTTCTTTTTAACATGAGGCATACTCTAGTCTCTCCTGGTCTATTAAATAGAAAATGACCATAGTGTTACCTGTTCATACTCCACTTCCTTATTTTGCAGATGTGATTTCGTGTGTCTGTGTCAAAGGGAAATAGACAGGTATTCTCTTTAGGATATGTCTTAGTCAAACAGAAACAATGTACTGGAAATGCATATCAGGCCTCAGACTTGATCCTACCTTAATAAATGTACCTTCAAAACAACCTGGAGCATGTGGAGATTGTATTTTCCCATTTTATTTCCTATGAGCATAGGAATGTTTTCTGTTTTATTCTATTTTATTCACTGCTGTATTAGAAAAAACAGATAATAGAAAAGTACCTGACATATATTAGGCACTCAACAACTATTTCTTGAGTGAATGGATTAAAAAAAGTCTGCTGTTTTTCTGGCATGTTATGCCTTTTATATGAGTATAATCTTCCCATTAGAGTTTACATGTAATTTATAATCTTAGAACTATAGGTGGCTTCAAGTTATATTTCTTTTCACACCTGTTCCCACCACAAATGCACCTAGATGTGATCAACTGCATGCAGAAGACATATGGAGCACCTGCTGTATGCAGGCACTGCGAGGTGTTGGGGATCCAGAGATGAATAGAATATGATTCTTGTCCCCAAGGAGGTCACAGTGTAGGAATTAGGAGCGGTTTAACGCTGTATTTGCAAAATTCAAACAGGGAGTTTAATTATTTCTTCTTATTTCTACTATCCTATTAACTTTATTTTAGGTCACCCTTTGGGGTGATTCTGATGATGGGACTTGGGGTACCATGGCAGGCCCTGGGAGATATTTGGAGATGGAAAGAGGTCCCTTATATCCTGCCAGAGGAGCAATAACTTCTTTTCCTGAGGTTATAACCAAAAGGGGATCTAGAGAGATAAAACAATGGAGTCTGTACAGGTTAGGTATTTTCCCAAGAACGACGAAATGGCAAGCAAAGACTCACAGAGCCCGTGCGAGGAACTAATCACACAGGCTCCAATCTCACTTGCAGCCTGTGTATGTTTAGAGCTGCACGTGAGCCCGGTCACACACCCACAGCCTTTGAGTAGCTGGACGTGTGGCTCTTCTCCATTGCCTTTCCCCCCAGATCTCCTGTCCTCCAGCCTCTGCCCACACTGCTGCTGCTCTGGGGCCAGCAGAGAACCTGGCTTTGGGGGAGGAGCAAAGGAAGAGGCTGAGAAACACAGACATGGTGCAGGGAGGTGACCCTAGAGGCAGGGCAGGGCCCCTGTGGCTGCCTGTGGCTCACCACCAGCTAGAGATCCCTTGGGTGTTTCCCAGTGTGGAGCCCTTTAGAGGCACTGGGGCCATAACAGAGTAAAACAACTGATGCCTGCACCTTGCTCTCAGCACGCTGGGCTATTCTGATGTGCAGCTGGGGTGTAGAACCAGAGTAGGCCACTGGCACTTTAAAAAGAAAATTCCCTCCTGTACTTAGATAATTCACTTTGTTCCTCACCTCTGGCTAGATCAGCTGCCTGGATGGCGCAGAGTTTTGGTAGAAGAGGGTGCAGAGGGTAGGGGGTTGGGCCCAGCACAGTAGGCTTCCAGCAGGATGAAGGCCCTGCAGACGGGTCCTGGGTGAGGGGAGAGTTTACCAGAGAGGAAGTGGAGAGGGTGCCAAGGACGAATGTGGCTCACATCAAAGGAACACTCCTCTTCATTCTTCCTTTCATCCTTTCCCCTGTGCGGCATCAGGGGAAATCAGTCCAGGTCATTTTCAGCCACACGGTGGATGGCATGGATCAATTTGTGGGGTAGCTTCTTGGAAATTTAACTATCTTCTACACAGTTAATTTTGTGGCAAAAGATATACTTAGCTCACACTCAATACCCGGCTTTTAGATTGCAACCTATTTGTACTTTGGAATTTGCTTTTTTTGCTTACAAATACTCTCGGTAGATTAGATGAGTATGATAATAGGGTCAACGAGGGCCAAGAGAAGTGACATGGTGGACCCTCAGGTGGGACATGGATTCTCACTGTCCCATGTCTGTCCCAAGAGGCAATCCTCTTGCCAAAACTTGAGACAATTTGAGAGATTCTCACTCTCTCTTAGGAAGTGGATTTAGGCAGAATGAGACCAGTCAGATAGTTTGCATTTAGGCAAATCTAACTATTTCCAAGTAAAATGGGTGGGAATTTATGGTTTTTGGGGGTGCCAGGGAAGCTTTCATGACTATTTCGCTGTATCTTTTTCAGTGTGGTGCTCCTGGCGTTTGCATCTCATCCCACAGGTAAAGGCTGCTCCAGTGTTAACTTTGTTATTTTTATGTTGCTCATTCCACCCAGTGAGCTTATCTCTGAGAGATATTTCCTAAGAGAACACAGTTGAACAGCCCACATATTTAAAACTGCTTTTATTAACCCCTTATGGATTTATTGCTGAGGAATCTATTCTTATCTCTTCTTGAATGTTGTTTATGTTTTTATCTGGTGTGATCTCAGATACAGAGGCAAGTCTTCTAAAATTCCTTCTCCAAGCATCCAGAATTGCTCCTCAGTTCCACGGCTGAAGGATTTGATGAAAAAGTTCAAATCCACCCTATTTCCACCTGATATCATTTTATAAATTTTTATCACATGTCACCATCCAGTTTTCATAATTCCAGATTAAAGAAGTCAGTTTCTAAAACTTAATCTTTACCCTGTTGCCACCTCGGTCACTCTGTAGTTGCTTTTCAGATTCAGGCATTACCCACAACACTCTATTCCACTGTGGTTTTTCACTTTGAAAGACTTGGAAGTTGATGCCAAAGATAAAACAATAATATTTGTGTGTGGCATGGCTAAAAATGCACATTTTGTTGCTCGTGCTCTTTGTGGCTTAGTGGAGTGTGGTAGAAAGAACATTGACTCAGAAGGACTGGAACTTCTCTGGGCTCCCTCACCGAGCGGCCAGAAGACTGCTTTTTAAAAAACTAATGTTTACTGACTACTTGCTATGCTTAAGGCATAGCTTAAGGTTCTCAGTTTTCTCATCTATAAAATGAAAAAAGTGAACTGGGTCCTTTCTAAAGCTCCTTCTAGCTCTCATCCTGTGCTCAAGCTTTCTGTTGGTGTTTTTAGCTACTTCAGACTCCCTGAGCGAGTATCTTCAGGGAATTGTTGATAGTGACTCAGGAGTGATGTTTCTATTGTATAAAACATATCCGAACCCATGTCTCATAAGGAACATTTGAACTACTCTAAATGCATTACTTTCCACTCACTCACACTGAAGCACATCTATTGTCTGCCCACTCCTGCAGCCCGGTGACATCTCAAAGCTCTGAGGGTCGAATGCCCTTTCTGCCATCATTTGTAAAAGTCAACCCCTTTGTAAAATAATAAATCCTACAAACCCATACTGTTAACCTCCACAGTGTCTGCTCACCCCTTCTGCTGCAAGTCTGCCTTTAAGTCCTACTCTTACCGTTCTTCCGTGCAGCCGGGTGGCTTCTGCCCAACAGATATTTAAGAGCCTCCAGAGTGTCCTCCCGCTTTGAAATATGCTTTTGTCAAAGGCCTTTGCAAAGTTATGTTCACAGGCTCTCTTTGGTTTATGTATTCATTCACTCCCCTGATTTATTTCTGGTGGACTTGAGTGAATAATTTTCACCTAAAGAAATCACTTGGCCCTTTGGCTAAGAGGCTGTGCTTGTTCATTTGTGATATTCATGACGATCAGAGCTGGAAGGCATCTAGTTATCCCAGCTGCCATCAGATTTTACAAATGAGGAAATTGAAGCCCCAAGGAGTTCAGTGATGTGACCAAGATCCTGCTCAGTAGGTGAGCAGCAGAGGGAGACTGGAGTTTAGGTCTCCTGACTCTCTTTCCACATTTTCCTTTTTAAATGCTACTTGTTCAGTGATCCTACACTTTATTATAAAGTGTCCCAAGCAAGAGAATACTTTTGCATGATGTTCCTAAATTTCTTTCTGGAGCTTCTCTTGGTCTGTGGGGCATTTTAGCCACCAGTTTCCAAGCATAATATCTACTGGTAATAGTTTGTACATTTGGCCAACAGTACAACATTTTACCTTGAGTTATTGCTAAACTTTTAGATCAATTCAAGAATGAATAACCTTGGGCACTTAGTTACTCTCTGGGCACAAAAAGTAGTCACAGCCTGAGATTGTAGAATGGCCTGGGCAAAAGAGCAATTTTAAAAAGGCTTCAGTTTCTTTATGAGGTGATGAAAATGTTCTGGAATTAGATAGTGGTGATTGTTGCACAATCTGTGAATATACTAAAAACCATTGAAGTGTGCATTTTAAAAGGGTGAATTTCATAGTATGCAAATTATATTTCAATAAGAAAACGTTATGTGTAGGGGAAAAAAAGAAATCTCTCTGATTTGAGAACCTGCTTTGGAACTTAATTATGCCAGAAGAGGATACTTGCCAGGATTAATTTTCCTTCTAGTTAAAGGAAAATTTAACTTTTACATTAAAAAAGAAAAAAAGAAAGAATGGACATCAGATACTCGCCTCCCCTTCCTTCTGCAGACTTTAGTCCCAGCGCGTGGTAAGTGATCAGAGATCGGTCTGCAGCGGGATTCATCAGAGAGGGCCTTGGAACCTTGATCTTGAAGGACTCCTGTCTGCGGCTTTGGTCTGTTACAGTTTTGTGCTAGCTGAGGTGGTGGCGTTGAAGAGGTCAGGTAGAGAAAGTCAGGCTTGTGAGAAGCATTTTGCTGGGCTTTGACCCTGGCTGTGCCTCACCCGTCAGCCTCAGAGGTGGCTGTGGCCTCCCTTCTGTGAGGGAGAAGGACCTCTCTTACTGGGCGGCTCTAATTCCTGCCAACTGGGTAGCTTTCTCATTGGAGCCCTGGGTAGTCTAGACCATTTTAAATCTAGAACAACACTCAATCTTTCCCAGCTGCCGATTACACTATCCATCTAGAATGTGTGCGGCGGGGCCTGAGTGCGGGCTGGGAGAGCTGTCTTCCTGACTCCCCACCTGCCGCGGTTAAGACACAGGCTCCACAGATGCAGTCTGGGTTTTTTTTTTTTTTTTTTTTTGAGACAGAGTCTCGCTCTGTTGCCCAGGCTAGAGTGCCATGGCGTCAGTCTAGCTCACAGCAACCTCACACTCCTGGGCTCAAGTGATCCTCCTGCCTCAGCCTCCTGAATAGATGGGACTACAGGCATGTGCCACCACACCCGGCTAATTTTTTCTATATACTTTTAGTTGTCCAGCTAATTTCTTTCTATTTTTAGTAGAGACCCGGTCTCGCTCTTACTCAGTTCCAAACTCCTAACCTTGAGCAATCCTCCCACCTCAGCCTCCCAGAGTGCTAGGATTACAGGCATGAGCCACCGTGCCCAGCCAGATGCAGTATTTTTGAAGGATCTGTTAATAGTTTCCAACATTTTAAAGGAGGGCTTGATTCTTTTTGGTTTCTTCTTACCCCTTCTTTTGTTACTTGTATCTTAATTATTTAGTAGTACTTTAAAAATATTTTTAAATTGAGATATAATTTACATGTATGAAATAGATATATGTTAAATGCATAGTTTGATCGATTTTGGCAAATGTCGGTACATACCTGTGTGGCTCACATCCCTATCAAGATATGGAACATTTCTATCATTGTAGAAAAGTCTCCCCCTGTCCCTCCTTATTCATTCACCCACCAAAATCCCTCCACTGATATGATTTCTATTACCGTAGGTCAGTTGTATCTCTTCTTGAGCCTTGTATATGAATGGAAGCATCAGTGGTCTTTGCATCTGGCTCTTATATGTAGTGCGGCGTTTAGAGATTCATTCATGTTGTTGTGTATGTCATGACTTTGTTCCTTTTTGCTGTTGAGTACGGTTCCATTGTGTAAACATACCACATTTTGTTTATCCATTTACCTGTTGATGCTCACCTGGGCTGTTCCTAGTTTGTGGCTATTATGAATAGTCAAAAAGCTGCTATGAACATTCTTATGCACAGCTCTTTGTGGCTTATGTGTTCATGTTTCTTGGACAGATACCTAGGAGTAAGATTGCTGGGTCCTAGCATAGATGTGTATTTAACCTTCCAAGAAAGCGCCAGTTTCCCAAAGTGTTTATACTAGTTTACGCTCCCACCCCACAGTGGGAGAGTTCTAGTTGCTCCACACTCTCACCAACATTTAGTGTTGTCAGTCTTGTTTTAACTGCTCTGGTGGGTGTGTGATGCTTTCCACTGAGCTTCCCTCCTCACTCACTCGCAACCAAAAAGATGAGCTTTTCTTGTAGATGCACCTTTGGGATATGCCGGGGTGTGGTGCTAGGGAGACAGTTCTTCATGCCCCAGGCCAGACCCCAGCACAGGGTTTCCTTCTTGGCAGGTTGAACCCACCTTCCCTCTAGCCTTTCAGCCTCACTATTCCAAGAATCTTGGGGCCTTCCTTGACTATCACCTTTCCCCTCACACTATTTGAAGCAGTAGTAGAGAAGAGATGTTCCCCATGCTTAAGAGTTTGCAGTTCCCATTTGGATGGGGCCCCTCAGCTGTGGTGGTCAAGAGAGAGAGAGAGAATTTCAGGGAACCAGAGGAGCAGGGAGACCCACAGGAATCTGACCCAGAAATAACCCTGTTACCTGGTGTGCCTGTTGCTCATGTGTGAGATACAGCAAACAGCACTAATTACTCCTTGGAACTGACCTCCCATTTTCCTGCCAGTTCTGAGGGCAAGAATGTGAGATGAAATTCTCTTCATGTTCAGATATCAATTAGTCTTGAAGGTGGCAGTATTGTGCCACAGTTTGCACTGTGGCAATTTCATGCCCTGTTATCTTCAGAGAAATGGGATTCATTCCCTCACTCAGAGTCAGCAGAATTTTAACTGTGGAACACGACAGTGAGGGCTCAACTCAGACTTTATTTCATAAGCCTCCATGTTGCTGCCACAAAACATGTTTACAAAGCTTTAGCCGCTTAATCTGCACTTAAGTTGTGCAGTTCTGCACTAGATGGTGCAGGAGTGTCGTCTTATGAGCGTCTTTACACGTTTTTTAGGCTCCTGGATCAAGTCCTCATGTGGTTGGAGCCAGCCCACCACACACTGCAGCCTTCCCAGAGAGTATTTCTAGCACAGTCACCAACATTTGCCATGTAGGGGTTACTGTGCACCCTCTCTGTTTGAGAGTGCCACGTTAGCAAAAGAGAAGGCAGATTGATGGCATCAAAGGGAAACATCTGGGGTCAACTTAAATTGAGAACAACTTAGCCAACTGGAAACTGGAACATTCTCTCCAGGGAGGGAATGAGGGGTTCTTTCAGATCCTCTCAGCTCAGCAGTGCTCGTCGTACGTATGGGGTGGTGCTGACACCTTGTGGGTACAGGGGTGAGTTGGGTCCCAGCTCTTAGGATTTGATGGTTCTAGGAGGAGGGATGGGTGTGAGGTCAACTGTGTGCTACGTGAGAAACGTGGAGGCTGTAGAAATGGCCAAAGGTCAGGGAAGCTAGTCTCTTATTTTCTTATGTCTCTCTCAGTAATTTATGGAATCGGTTTTCACGATTTGAGTGGGGGTTATTATTTAACTGGTAAATTACCTAGGACCCACTTTTTTTCTCTATTTCCCTTCCTCCCAGTCTTTCTCTGACCACCGCTCTGTTCTTTAGACCCCCTCCAAAGCTTGGCTGGGCTATAAAAGTCGCCAGTGCACCCCAAGTCCATTTCACCCCCCAGAGTGTTTGGGATGAAGGGCTGGGTGCTGAGTGGAAGTCTCAGCGTCCCCAGTTTCCTTGCTCCCCCTCTGCCAGTCTTCATTGTCCCACTGCCTGCTCTGCACTTTCTCTCACTCTGAGGGGGAAATTGGTTAGGGGCCAGGAACCAATAGCTGCCAGACCGACAGAACAAGTTCTCCGTGCGCATGGACAAGTTCTCCCCTCCCCCTGCCTGAATGGGAGGCTCTGGCCACTCTCTAGGACTGGTGTCCCCAGGGTTACCACGGCTGTCGCTGGTGTAGGGAAAGGGACTGCCGAATATGTCTGTGCTCTTCATGCACTAGAAGACTGAGCCTGAAGTCATTTACAAATTCCCTCCACCAGCATGGGTCCTGATCAGACAGTAGAGAGAGAACAAGAACTCTTAATCTGTTTTTGGGCTACATGAAAACCAGATGCCAAGAAACCCTCTCCTTGTAGTTGAACACACACATGCATATGCACAAATGAAACAAATAAATAAAAATAACAATCATGATAAAAAAAAAACCCTCCAGAGAAATAGAATTCAGAATATTTCCTTCCCTGTAGATGGTTGAATCATTTGAGATCATTCAGGTCTCTGAGGAAGTGTAGAAACCCATTGTGCCTTTTTTCCCAGAAGGCTTGATTACTAGGTGTAGTGGGAAGCAAGTACTGCCTGGGTGTCCCACTGCATACCTAACCTACTGCGAATAGTTGGGAAAATCAGCTCTCTCCTGCCAGTTCCCCCGGACTGAGAGACAGGCCAAGGCCCGAGGGTCTGGAATACCAGGCTTTCCAGGGGCTCAGAAACTCCAGATTTGGAAGGATTAAGGTATCTGCTGTGGAAATGCTTAATTCCTTTTCTCTGGACATTTTTGGAACACTTTCTGCTTTTTTAATCTCCTGACTTCTTGTTTGTGACCAAGTTCAAATTCCAGAGATGGAAGCAGCCAACATGTGTGATGATTTCCTCTTGCACCAAGTGGAACTGAAAGAATGAGCTTACTTCACCAGAAATAAATGTACCCTTTGGACCTCAAACTAAAACGAGTATGCACAGTCGGTCTTGTCCTTGTGCTGTCTGTGCAGTAATTAAACACAAAAATGAACAAAATGTCAGGGCCATGGATTCATGACCTTTTTTTAGACATAGGCAGAAAAGAAAAAAAGACTCTTTAAAAAGATTCCTTTTTTCCTGCACGTGCCCTTGTGCAGGGTTGGCTGCCTGGTGAAGAGGAGAGATCCTAGGGTTTGGATTGACTGGAGTTCACAGTCTGGCTCTGTAGTTTAAGAGTTGCGCAATCTTACACACGGCTCTTAACTTCTCTGAGCTCTGGCAGAAATGGGGATAATAGAACCTCACAGAGTTGCTACGAGGCCGGAAAGAGATGAATATATAAAACTTTTAGCATAGGTCCCGCACAAGGCACGCTCTCACTAAATGATCATTATTATTATACTGTTATTACCATTATAAGACAATGCTGGTAACAGAATCCCTGGGAATGCCAGAGTGAATTCAGTGCTAGGCAACTCAGTGCACAGAGGACCGCCATGCTAACGACCATGGCCTTGAGTTTCCCAGGGTAGCTAGGGATAGAGGGCTGTGTGGGGCCACGTCGGCCATCGTTTCACCATTGCTGTGCCCCTCAGGTGATCTCTTCAGCGTCCTGGACTTCCCGTTCCTGTATTTCTACAGATTCCATGGCAGCTGCTGTGCCAGGTAAGTTTGAACTCATTCATTTGTATGTTTCCTGTGCTGTCAGCTGTGTGTTCCTCTCTGTGAAGTCCAGGGTCACTGCCGGTGACCCGGATGAGTGGCAGGAGAGAGTGGGGGTGAGTGCAGGCAAGGACACAGCTCGGCCACCAACAGGCTGTCACTGAGCATGCTCAGGCTCTACTAGGGGTGGCCTGGGCCCCGCGAGGACCCCTGGCCTGCAGAGGTGCCTCAGCGAGGGGTGCGGTTCTCAAACTTGCTGAAGAGCTAGGACTCACCCACCTTTCCCCCCCTCCATAAACAAACCTCACATAGAGCTTCAGTGTACAAAACTGATGAAACTGATTCTGCTCAAGGGAAGATTTTGGGTCCAGAATCCCACTTTCTCAGCTTCCACCAAACCCTAAAGCCCTGAGAAATGGGTTTTGGAACCAATGACTAGGAGATGTCTAGGCAACAAGATGACCATCAGTATTTGGCCTTGGGAAGGACTCGGGGTTGTAGGCGAGGTACATGGATACATCTAAACATATGGAAGTTTACACCCACCCCCTTTCCCTTTTCCTGCCACCATCGCCACTCTGCTTGACTTTACTGTGGGAAGTGGAAAGACTCCTATGGACACTCCCAAAGCAGGTGTGGTGTTCCGATGTGGTGGAAAGGCCAGGCCTGGGTGAACCCAGGGTTGCTGCTTGCCAATAATTATGTGGTCTTTGGGCAAGTTCTCCCAAGCCTTAGTGTTCTCATCTGTAAAATGGAAATATAATACCAGTACAGGGCTGTTGCGTGTATTAAGTGAAATATATAAAGTCTTAAGCATTGTGCCTGGCCCAGTAAATGGTGGCCATTATGATTGTCCCTCAGGCAGACCGTAAATACAGTGTCAATGCATCTGCATGGGCAGTGGCCATGTGAAAGTCAGGCCATGTGTTCCCATGCACATATTAATAAAATGGCACCTGTGAAGCAGCGATTCTTCCCAGAGCTCCAGAGCTGCGGTGCAGGTAGGCACTGCTGCTGCTGGGCTATGTCATGCTCTTCATGTGTGCTAGGGCAGAAAAAAAAAAAAGAAGAATCAATATTATAGAGTTTGTTTCTGCATTTGAGCCTCAGAGTGATTTATTTATCACCCTCAGAAAATTTTCAGGGCAACATAGAATTCGCTGTCCCAGTTCCTGCCAATTTGATCGGGCTTTGTTCCCTTGCCTGTTAGCTGGAACTAAACAGCATGAGTCTCAGAGCCTTTGAGTCGGGTTATTTGGCAGCACCAGCGAGCAGGGTGTGTGTGTGGGGGGTGGGGCGCGGCGGTTGCGTGTTATTTGGAGCAGAGCAGCACAGCTCTCAGCCCATTCATGCCGGCTTTGTGGGGTGACCTTTGGGCTCTGTTTCTGCCCCTGTTAATCTGTAGCTCTCCTAAAACACAATGTGATAGTTTTTTGTTTTTTTTAAAAGATCTGGGAATCTCTATTTGAATTGACCTCTCTATTATTAACACATTTCACCCCTTGCAAAAGAGCTTAGGCTCTTTAGTCATTTCAGTGGCTCCTCCGTGACCACAGATGAGACTGGGGGGTCCTGGGAAGCAAAGGAGGGGTCACAGAGACCTGGAGGGATACTGGTAGCTACAACCTGAAGACCCCATGACCAGGGAGTCTCTGCCTCTGTAGCAAGGGGTGGAAGAGCTGAGAGTGGAAGGAGAAAGAGGAGGGATCTGTGAGTAATTGACAAATAGCTCACAGACATACAAGTCAAGCGATATGAAGGAGTCCTGGATGTTTCCATACGCATGTTGGTCACAGACTGGGCTGAGCTTTTCCTGGCCCTGCACCACGGTGACAGGTAACATGGAATCATGCCCTTCCTCTGGCTGGAGGTAGAGAGGGGAGGAAAAGACCTGAGGAGAAGGAGGTCTGGGAGATTGAATAGGCACCTGAGAAGGTGTTACTTCCTTGGGTACAGGGGTGGGAGTCACAGAGGGAGCTGGTGCACTGGCTGCCTCACTTCTCAGACCCACCCTTCTGGCCACAGGTGCCTGGAACATCTCACTCTTTAACTAGCTGGCCAAGAACACATTTCCAAGACTGGGCACAATGGCTTGTGCCCATAATCCCAGTACTTTGTGAGGTCAAGGCAGGAGGATTGCTTGAGACCAGGAGTTTGAGACCAAGCTGGGCGAGACCCTGTCTCCACCCCAAAAAAAGATCACCTGGGTGTGGTGGCATGCACCTGTAATCCCAGGGGGCTGAGGCAGGAGGATCACTTGAACACCAGGAGTTCAGGGTTACAGTGAGCTATGATTGTGCCACTGCCTGCACTCAGCATGGGTGACAGAGTGAGACCCTATCTCTAAAAAAAAAAAAAAAAAGACAGAAAAACAGAAAAATAACACATTTCCATGGTAAGGAAGAGCCATGAGACTTGGATTCTAATTGTACCTGTACCTAAGTTTCCTTGTTAATCATGTGAGACTTTGGGGCTAGGTAACCTTTCTCTTTTAAAAGTCTCTGGTCTCTGTGGCCTGGCATGGTAGCTCATGCCTTTAATCCTAGCACTCTGGGAGGCCGAGGCTGGAGGATTGCTCGAGGTCAGGAGTTTGAAACCAGCCTGAGTAAGAGCGAGACCCCGTCTCTACTAAAAATAGAAAAAATCAGCTGAGTGTGGTGGCACATGGCTGTAGTCCCAGCTACTTGGGAGGCTGAGGCAGGAGGATCGCTTGAGCCCAGGAGTTTGAAGCTCCTGTGAGCTAGGCTGATGCTATGGCACTCTAGCCCAGGCAACAGAACAAGACTCTGTCTCAAAAGAAAAAAAAGCCCTTGGTCTCCATAAGATAAGATGAGGACTGCTGTGCTTGCTCCTACTTTATGAACACTGAATCTGAGACAAGAAAAGGGGGAAAAGGGATTTGGATATAGTTATGAGGGTCAGTGATCACAGTTACAAATGAAATCCAGGTCACCTGATCTGTCTGGGTAAGCCTGTTGCTTACCCACAGGGGCCTCTTTGCCTTTTGGGTGTGACTTGATGTCTTAATCCATAAGCGTTCAGTCTCCCATGACGGCAGATACAGATCTGAATGAACTCTGCAGGTCATCAGGGCCAGACAGGCTGAGATATACACAGGGGAACCCCAATGCCAGTCTCTGTCCAGCCCCAAGAATGTGACTGTGAACTCATCTAATCTAACAAAGCGAAGGTACACATTTCTATCACATCTGGCCTTGGGCGTGTTCAATTTAACTCAATCTGCTTCCAATTCTGGCAGACAAACATTTATTTAATACATACTGTGACTGAGGCACCATGTTAATCTCCATGGGGGAAAATACAAAAGGCAGCTCAAGATCGAGCCCTTCCACCTTAGAGCTTACGATCTGCATTGGAGCCGCACACCGATGCCTATAATACAGATCAGAGGGAAGGGTGACACCCGAGCCTCTGGAGGTGCCAATGAAGGACGACCCACATGACCTACCGCTCTGGCTTGGGGTACAACTGCGATCATATCTCTTTTTAATTTTCAGTTTCAAATCAAAGTCACACTCAAGCCACCACCTGCACACATTTGCAAGAAGTCAGCCTCTCCCTCTCTGTCTCTCCCTTGCAGTCTCTCTGCCTCCCCTCTTCTCCAGCTATCCTGCCTGCATGTGCCAGGAAGAGTTTGGAGCCCCCTTTGCTTTGGCCCTGACCACACAGTGGCACTTTTGAAAGTGGTTCCAGCACAGGGACTACATCCCTGTCCACGGCTGTGGCAGTGCCCTTGCTGTTCCAGACCTCTAAACAGCCCCGTGATGCTCCCCCAGTTCACACACACATGCACAGGCATCGTTTCCAAAACGGACTCCTGGTCTCAGCCGAGTGTGTCACTGCAGCCAGCCTTCCACTTCAGGTCTTATCTAGAGCCCAGGAGCCAGTCAAGACCCTCTTTTCTCATATGATGAGTTTCCCTTTGGAAATCTTTTCCTGCCAGTTTGTTTTGCTTGAAAAAATTGAAGCTCTGCCTTGGCAAGCACCAAAAGTCCGGAAGTAATCTGGGAAGGAACAGTTGATGTTGTCCTCCACCCTTTTTTTTTCCCCTTTCATGATTTAGCCAGAAGCCTCACCGATTTCTATGCCCCCCTCCCACTGCCAATGAAATGCTCCCATCACAGTTGCTTAGAAAAGCAGAGGTAACAGGTTTTTAAATTTTGGTATTTTTAGGCAGAGATCACTAGAAAACACAGGTGACTTAGAAGTTTTGTAATAATTCCAAATTAACTGGTAAAATGTAGCATCAACGAATCAGCTATTGGCTAGAAGATGACAAGCCTCACTAATAAAATAATATTTTCTCCTTCCAGTGGATTTTTAGGATTCTTTCTCATGTTCAGTACAGTGAAGCTAAAAAGCCTTCTGGCGCCAGGACAGTGTGCAGCCTGGATTTTCTTTGCTAAGGTAAGAGAGAGAGGAGAGGTGGGAAAATCTCTCTCGAGAGCTTGTGTGCCCAGAGTTCTCAGAGCCTGGGTGATGTGAAGTTTGATCTTGATGAAACCATTTCTAGGTTCTGGCCCTGAGTCTGATCCTTCATTCATTCTGGTAACAATTTCTGATCCCCTCTGTCTATTTTATCAGCAGGACATACTTAATTTTTATCACATCCTAGAAGGTGATCATGGGTAGGCTTCTTAACTTCCCTGTGCTTTAATTTGCCCATCTGAAAGTGAGAAGTTTTGCCCAAAAACCTCTAAGCCTTCTCCAGCTTTAAGGGTCTAGACCCCTAGATACATGGGGCAGTTCTTACTTTCCTTCCTTGGGGCCATGAGGGTGTCCAGAGCTCAAGTGACTTGCCCAAGAGGACTCAGCCTATCTGAGGTGACAAAGAAATGCAAATAGACAAATGGCCAGGTTGGGACACTTCAATGCCAAGAATGGCATGTGTGTGCCTGAATGACCATGGCTGAAGCATAAGGTAAAGTAGGGGGGAACCTATGAAGAAACAGCAGGAACAGGAAAGTGGCTGTGGGTCTCACACGCTGACCCAAGTGCTTTGGGGCCTTCTTTCTATTGGCGCATTTCATTTCCCTAACGTCTGCGAAGAAGTCAAGTCTCAGGGCCCTACAAGCTGCTTCCAAGGAGTGATGTTTTAAAATTTAATCTAATGAAATCATTATTTAAACTTGGGCCTTTAGTCATCTTTATGGGTTTGGATTTTTTTGGCTGATTTTTTTCAAAAAAAAACCAAAAAAACATTTTTCTTTGAAAATCAAGTTTCATAGTGATATTTTCACTCATCTGGTATACTTTTACTAGCATTAATAATTCCTGTTCCAGCAGAATATAGGGAGTGGTTGAGATATTGAATTCTAACATGTTGAGATATTGAATTCTAACATGACAGAGTGAAGAGGTTGATGAAACCTGTTCCCAAAAAGCAACTAGAAAGTTGGAAAAAGACTGTCAGAACATCCCTTTCAGCTCTCTAACAATTGACCAAAGGCATACAACAAACTAAGAAGCATTTGTTTCTGAAAACTACTGAACTTCGGGTAGGAACAGGATGAATTTGTGGCATTTGTGTCTGTCATCACTCCCATCCTCCTGCTCGGCGCTGTCAGTGTGATCGCTCAACCAGAGTAGGGCAGGCTGTGAAAACCACAAACTTTGCAGCTGCTTCCAGGAGGGGCTGACTCTCTTTGGAGGATTGTCTGTTAAAATGGCCAACTCAGTGGCAAATGAACAGGAAAGGCCAGTAGCTGCACTAGCTTGAATTTATAGTCCTCTTTGGAGGAAGCAATGGACCAGTGATCTAGCTGGGCACTTCCTAGGTAGTTCTGGGAGGTGAGGCAGCCATCAGGGGCTTGATAGCTCTCCATAGATCCTAGATTGCTGCTAGTCTGTGTGTGTGTGAGCAGCAGACAGGAAGCTGGCTCACAATACCCATACAGCCCTGGCCAGCAGAGCCTGTGTGCACACACAGAGGACGTGACAGAGCCAGCAGAAAGTAAAAGCTGGGGCAGACATAAAAACAGCCTGAGGTTTGCATGTGTTCCCCAGCCCACACACAGAGTCAGGAGCAGAGAGAAGAAGGTTCTTTGGCTCAAGCTACTGGAGCAAAACCTCTAACTCGTCTTTGCCAGAACACTAAGCTATGCAGACATGGGGATAACCCCTAGAAGCCACATTTAAAAATAAAAACAAGAAAAAAAGTTGAGTAAGAAATCAGCAGTTGTACCTTTTATAGGACAGACTTAGTCCAGGAGTATTACTGAATAAGCAAAACAACAATAATGACTATCCAGAATTCAGAATTGCTGCCATATATTATCTAAAAGTTTCAGTATTCAACAAAAAAAATTAGAGATATTCAGAGAAGCAAAATGTGCAGGAAAAAAGCAGTTGATAGGAACTGTCTCTGAGTGTCTGTCCTCAGATATAGGATTCAGCTGAAAAAGACTACAAAGCAGCTATTTAAATATGTTCAGAGATCAGAAGGAAACTGTGTTTAAAGAATTAGAGACTCAGTAAATGCTGAATCTCAATAGAGAGATAAAATAAAAACAAAACAAATGGAAATTCTAGAGTTGAAAAATACAATAACTGAAATGATAATTCTCTAGAAAGACTCAACATTTGAAATAGCAGAAGAAAGAATAAGTGAACTAGAAGACAGAGCAAATGAAATTATTCTATCTAAAGAAAAGATTTTTTAAACATTGAAGTATTATAAACAGAGCCTCAGATCTGTGTGACATCAAGTACATCAACATATGTGTAAAAAGAAAAAATTGAAAAAATATCTGAAGAAATGATGGATCAAAGCTGCCCTAATTTGATAAAAACATTAATTTATAGACCCAAGAAATTCAGTGAGCCCCAAGTAGGATAAACAAAGAGAGAGCTATACCTAGATGCATTATAATCAGACTTTTGAAAGACAAGAAAATCTTGAAAGCAACAAGAGGAAAATGATTCAACACAAATGGGAAAAAAAAAATACAATTAATGGTTGACTTATCGGTAACAATGGGACCACTAGGCGTGGTGGCTCACACCTATAATCCCAGCAACTCAAGAGGCTTTGGCGGGAGGATTGCTTGAAGCCAGGAGTTTGAGACCGGCCTGGGCAACATAGTGAGATGCCATTTTGATAAATAAATAGTCCATCCTTTGTCATTTTCTTTAAAAAAAATTCTGCGAAGGGAGAATTGTGAAAAAAAATAAAACAAAAACAATGGTGACCAGAAGGCAGTAGGATGACGCATTCCACATGCTGAAAGAAAGACTTGTCAATCAAGAATTCAATATATAGCAAAACTGTCCTTCAACTATGAAAGAGAAATAAAGACATTCCTAGCTAAAGACTGGGATATTTGTTGCTAGCAGCCACATCAATAATTGTATTAAATATGAATGCAATAAATACCTAACTCAAAAAATAGAGATTATCAGATTGGATTTAAGAAAGTAAAACCCAACTATATATATTGTCTATAAGAAATATACCATAGAGTTAAAGACACAAACAGGCTGAAAGTAAAAGGATGGAAAAACATATACCATGCAAATGGTATATGTTTGCATGGTATATGAGACCTGGGTAGAGTAGCTATATTAAAATCAGACAAAATAGACTTTATAACAGAAAATATTGCTAGAGTAAAATAGGGACATTTGATAATGATAAAAGCATTAATACACTAGACTGACCAAGAAAATAAGAGAAAAGATGCAAATTATCGAAGTTAGAAATGCTAAATTTGACTGACTTAAAAGAAAAAAGTAGTTGGGGGACTTAAACTATGTGGTTTGAAAATTAAATGCAAAGCTAGAATAATCAAGACATTATGGTATTGGTATAAGGATAGGCATTTATGGGCTAACAGTTGTCAACAGAGGTACCAAGGCAATTCAATGAGGAGAGGGTTGTCTTTTCAACAAGTGGTGCTGGAACAATCAGATATCCACATACCAACCAATCTACAAACAAACAAAAAACTTAGATTCATGTCTCACATCATTAACTCAAAATGAATCATAAATCTAAATGTAGTGCTAAAATGAGAAAATTCTTAGAAGAGAACATAGGAAAAAACTTTAATGGCTTTGGATTTGTCAGAGAATTGGTTATGACACCAAAAACATGAGCCATAAAATAATTGATAAATTGTACTTCATTGGCTGGGCACGGTGGCTCACACCTATAATCCTAGCACTTTGGGAGGCTGAGATGGGAGCATCACTTGAGGCCAGGAGTTCAAGACCATCCTGAGCATGAATGAGACCATGTATCTACAAAAAATAGAAAACTCTGCCAAGTCTGGTGGCACACACCTGTAGTCCCAGTTACTTGGGAGACTGAGGCAGGAGGATCACTCTAGCCCAGGAGTTTAAGGTTGCAGTGAACTATGATGATGCCACTGCACTCTAGCCCAGGAGACAAGGCAAGACCCTAACTCAAAAAAAGAAAAAAAATGTGCTTCATTTAAATTACAATCTTTTATTAATACAATTCAAAAGAGACCATTGAGAAAATGAAGAGATAAGCCACATCCTAGGAGAAAATATTTGCAAATCATGTGTCTTATAAATGACTTGTGTCTTACATAAAGAATTTTTATGCCCCAATGAGATGACCTACAATCTAATTTAAAAATGGTTTAAAGACTTGAACAGACATTTCAGTAAAGAAGATATATATAGATGGTTAATAAGTACATGAAAAGGTGTTCAACATCATTAGTCATTAGAGAAACGCAAGTTGAAATCATGAGATACTACCACACACCCACTAATATAGCTATATTTAAAAAGAAAACGACAATACCACGTGTTGGTAAGGATGTGGAGAAACTGGGAATCCTCATAAATTGCTGGTGGATATGTATACAGCCACTTTCGAAAACAGTTTGGTAGTTTCTTAAAAGGTTAAACATAAACTGACTATAACCCAGCAATTTTATTCTTAAGAATCTACCCAAAAGAAATGAAAATATATGACCATAAAAAACCTATACATGAATGTTCATATTAGCATTATTCATAATAACCAAAAATTGGAAATAATCTTAATGTCAACTAGTATTTATATAAACAAGACTCAGTAAATATATATATATATTTATTTGTATTTATATACACACACACACAGTGGAATACTATTCAACAATCAAGAGGAATGGGCTATTAATACATTGCTACAACATGGATGAATCTCAAAAATGTTATGCTAAGTGAAAGAATTGATTCACAAAACAATACATATAGTATTATTCCATTTATGTAAAGTGTTCAGGAAAACAAATTTATAGAGATAGTATACTGATAGTTTCTTAGGGAAACTGCAAATAGATTGCAAATATACTTGAAGGAATTTTTTTGGTAATGGGAATGTTCTAAAACTGGATTGTGGTGATGATTGCACAGTCATTTAAATTAATTTATTAAATTTGCTCATTAAAAACCATTGCATTTTGCATTTATAATAGATGAATTTTATGCCATGTAAATCATCCCTGAAAGCTATGAAGTAGTAGTGCTCAAATCATAGTGCTTACATCTTGTTCTTTAGGATTTAGAAGGACCTTTTTTCTGTGTATGTGGCTTTGCCTATTTGACCATTAATTTCATGAGTCCTCTTTTTATTCTTTTTTTTTTTTCTAAATTCTGAAGGAGGTTCATAACTTCCTCTTTAATAGTTAATTTAGAAGAGGGAGGATTTTTAATTGGCTGTGGTGGTTTAATGCTAGTCCTTCTTAAATGTGGAGGATTGGATTAGATCAGCCATTAAGGTCTCTTGCAGCCTCAGTACATCAGGTAATCTCTCTCTCCTGTTTTGTTTTGTTTATTCTATTTGAAAATAAATTCTGTGATCTTCACTGGTAGAATATGTATCCATTCTTCGGACCACCTGCACATCAAAATGTGCTGACATTTGAAATACAACATGATCGTACTTAGCAATACAGCATTTCCTCATGATGTCATTATGATTCTACTGGGTGCCAGCATATTCAGAAAGTGACTCAGAAGGATGTTCTCTTGGTGCCAGAGGAGAATCTGGATTCTGTGAAGACTTGAAAATACACAGGGAGGGAGGTCATTCACGGGGGGTAGGGATAGCTTCTTCCTTGCTCCAAAAGGACCCATTCATGGCTGGCCATTTTCCAAGGAGATGTCACATCAACTTCCTAACTTCTAAGTTCAGAGAGAAGGCATCCCTGTCTTTCTCTGGTTGTCACCTTTTTCAGTGTCTTCCTCAGATCTGAGAATGCTTAGCATGGGGAAAAAGTGCCTTCTAAGTCATTTTATATTGTTATCTCTAGCATTGTTTTCCACCAGGGGAATTTGAGAAACATTTTAAGAAGCTAAAAATAACAGAATATTTAGCAACCCTTAAAAAAATATTCCTCCTCTTGGTAAATTCAGGCATGTGAAATCTAAATGCATCTTCATAAACTATTGGCATCCCCCCCCCCACTTGTAATTTAAAGCACTAGTGCAGGACAAAGTGAAAGAATTTAAGAGAAAAGCAATGAAATGTGTAGATGTACAAGGAAGATGTGGTATGAGTTTATATTTTTCTCCTGGTAAGTTTCTCTACCAGATTTACGTCCTCACATGAGAATCCTGCCTGGATTGAGTAGTGCCTTGTTTCATCCTTGTTAACTTCAAACTGACTTGAGTTCTCAGTGTCACTGTGAAGAAGTAGCAGAGGTCAGAGTAAGTTTGTGTTTAGGATGAGCCGGGATAGGAGAGGGGTCCTCAGGCAGCAGCCCAACTCTCTCCGGGCCTGAGACTCCAGCATTTGCTCTCCCTTCCAGAGCTCTCTCCATAAGCACACGTTCTTCCTTGAAGGCCAGTGCCATAATTACTGCTACCACTTTGTGTCCTGAAGACAGTGACAGACTAGAAAACCAAGTCTTAGCCTGTACCTTCTATGGCCCTAGGAAAATAATTTTTCTGTAGCTTGCTTTGAATAGGTCTCTTACTTTGGTTTTGTTTATTTTTTTGATTGTTAGAGTTTCACCTTTTGTGCATGCAGTGGCCTCACTCTCAGGGCCGTGCAGTGCTGGGTCAGCACGTGAGAGTGAACAGGCGTCTCCTTGAATGTCGTAACCTCGGTTTCTCACTTGCCTTCTCTGGGACGCATTAGTCGTGTGCAGTGCCTGCCTAAGGCATGCTGTAATCCAGAGGAGGAGGGGACAAGGGTGACACTATTAGAGGATGAGGCTGAGCTGGGTGGTGCTAACACCAGGAGCTGGGAAAAGGAAGAGGCACTATGAGCAGACGGAGGGAGGGGAGTGGCAGGAGCTGGCCTCTGTAGGCCAAGCTCGCCTGGGAGAGGTGGACTAGGGAATGAGGGCCTTCCAGGATGACTGGCAGGACCCTGAGGGGGGATGAGTCGGTGGAGAACTGTGATAAATAAATGTGACCAGAGGAGGAGGAGGATGTGGAGGTGTGGGGGGAATTAGGGCACAGAAGAGTCAGAGAATAGGAAACCCTAAAAGCTATTCCATAGAAACTGTTGTGGACCTCTGGAAGAGGCTGACTAAAGGGAGATAATGTTTGAGCAGGTTCATGTGGCAATGGTGCTCAAAATAGATTGGAAATGACTTGCACACATTTAGAAGGGAGGTGAGTCCAAGACAGTGATAGGAAGAATAAAGATGAAATGTCAGGCCGGGCACAGTGGCTCACGCCTGTAATCCTAGCACTCTCAGAGGCTGAGGCAGGTGGATTGCTTGAGGTTAGGAGTTCCAAACCAGCCTGAGCAAGAGCGAGACCCCATCTCTACTATAAATAGAAAGAAATTAATTGGTCAACTAATATGTATAGAAAAAATTAGCCAGGCATGGTGGTGCATGCCTGTAGTCCCAGCTATTTGGGAGGCTGAGGCAGGAGGATCGCTTGAGCCCAGGAGTTTGAGGCTGTGAGCTAGGCTGATGCCACGGCACTCACTCTAGCCTGGGCAGCAAAGCGAGACTCTGTCTAAAAAAAAAAAAAAAAAAGATGAAATGTCAAACTTGACCGCCCAATTTGAAGAAAAATAAATTTTAATCGTTTAATTTATCACATAAACGTGTGGCATTTTAAAAAAATTA